ATACATATAGGTGTTTCTTTACGTTTAACAAAACAACGATTCAAACAATCAACATAGATCCTTTATATTCGTAACAGATAATCTAATATAAATAATTGGGGTCCTTACTTACTAAAGCACAATTATACTAAATTTAAATATTTCGATGACTAAATAATTATCACTAATTACAGGTATGTAAAAAGGATTCTCATGACTCATGAATTGTTAAACATTTTGATGACCTTTAACGTACATTTATAGATTTTTTAATGATTCTGTCTTCGTAGTAATGACATAACCATATCATTAAACAAATATATAAGTACATATAAGTTTTTCTTTGGTTCCCAGTTTTGTTGAAAGTATTTGAGCCACATAAGGAAAAGTGTTGAGTTATTGCCTTCTCGAGCTTTAATCTTTTTTTTACTAAAGAAGAAATAAAATGTGAACCACATAAGCGGTGGCGAAACACAGACACTCAAACCGCGCGACACGGTGTCCACATGCCACGATGCGGCAACGTCTACCTATATGTCGTATAATATGTAAGTTTATAAATTATAACCAAAAACAAGAACATTTTAAAACGTATTAAACATTTCAATTATTATTACAAAATAATAATTGAAATGTTTATTAATACGTTTTAAAGTAGTTTTACAAAAACTACATACCCTGTTTATGTTACAGACGCTTTTACTTTTTTTTACTACGTTATATTTATACAATTTAAGTGTATATTTATTAATATGTCATGAACAGCATAATACAGTTTAGGCCAATTTTTTTAAGAGGCGTAAATTCGGGCAGATAAACAACTGGAATAGTCTAAGGGTGGCGAACAATTGTGTAATAGTAAATATAAATAAAAACCTAATAACAAAATCAAAATATCGGGTATGTCAATCTCTTGCATTTTTCCTACGTAAAAACGTTAAAGATAGATTGACTGAATTCAAATAAGTTTTGTTAAATTAAATCTCATCTGCTCGAATCCACGCCATTGTATATCTGTAACAGTACTACGACTACAATTTCTATAACAATATTTGAGGTGGATATACACATAAGTAGATCGCAATGTCAATCAATTTGAAGGTACGTTAAAAATAGATAATATTGTATGCAGTATCTTAAAACACTACCATTATCTTAAAATAAAAGCTTATTAACATTGTCTTACAATAAATTTTTAATAACAATCACAAATTGTAATAAAATTCTCAAACGCCACGTGTTGGACTCTTTTCTTACTGCTGTCTATCTGTCTGGTAAAATTTTACAAAATCTAGGCACAGTAATTAAATCAAAACATTTAAAAAGTTCGTCTTTTTTTCAATGGAATACAAATACAAATATACTTAAGAATAATTTTAACTACTAAGACTATTATGCGCTTTATTTTATTATAATTATATTAAGACACTAAAGCAAGCAACACAAAAAATTTGGCCGCATTAATATTATTTAACACATAAGGAATTATTTACAATGTATAGATATTGACTAGATGTTAAAGGTAAAGGCATACCTATATGGAATTCTTATATTTTCGCGATTGTGCGAGTGAAATTATTTTTCAGGTGTAAATAGCGTATATTTGTTTATTTTTCAAACGAACAAACGTTTCGGGTCCTTTACAGGTCCAATGATCCCAGTCAGCTGTGATCATGAGATAAGGATACTGAAACGTTGATTTGTTTGGAAAACAAATGTACGCGATTTGGAACAGAAAATAATTGTTTAGTTTTCTATACATAGGTATATTACATGTAATCACGCCCACATCACGCCTGACTCTGAATGTGGTATAGTTATACTACGGACTCCTGCTTGCTACGTAATGAATTAATGATAAACAGGTACTCCATAAATCCATACAATTGGTAAGTCCAGGTAACACAATATCGTCTGCTTAAAGGTAAAATCACATAAGGGACATTTCCACAATAAATCTCCTAATTATGTACCAGTTGCAAGAAAATCACCATATTTCTGCAGATAAAACTCTTATTAAGTTTATAGCTTTTTTGTTATTGAGCGTCACGTGTAGAAAGATAGTGATTTTCTTACCGTAGCTATATAAATTAAAGACTTTTTGTGGAAAATATAAATAAAATCTCTACATAACGTTTTTCTACTCGTGTATTTTACTACAATATGTTAGAATATTTCCGCTCATTTTTAAATATTTAATAATTATGTTACTCTTACACTTTTTTATAATAATAAGCGATGGAACGAACAAGTCGCGCGCTTGGTAAAGTAAGCGCTACGCCTATCTATAACAGTTGCAGTGCCACTCAGAGTTCTAAATTGCAAAGATCTGAGGGGCACTGCCACTGCGCCCGATACCCTGAGACGTAAGTTAAGAAATAGTCCTATGTGCCTGTAATTATACCAGCATCCTTACCCTTCAAAATCGGAACGCCATAATGCTCATGTTACTGCTTGATGGCAGAAATAGGTAAGGTGGCAGTATTTCCCTGGTCGAACTCTTTTACAATGAGCTCTACTGCTACTAAGATTAAATTAATACACTAATGTTTAACTCGTATACAGATTAGAGTATAATCTTTTATTCTAATTTATCAAAGCCACTTTATTACAAATTTAAAGTACAACGTCAAAAGACAATAACATGAAAATTTTAGGAAGATAAAGTTTTTTTTAATAAAAATTAAGAGCGGATTTCACTTCCATCTCGTCTGATGGAATCCGAAAGATTTTGGCTCATGTCTAGTTTGTACATTACATAATTAACCATAAAATTAATTATGCTATGTACACTATCATTACAAAATATCGCTTCCATTCCGTTCCGTGGCAATATAAATTGAGCCTTAGCAGGTCGACGAAATTCGTCTATGTATCTGTCATAGCCTAGTATTGAGTTTTTCGGCTTTCAACGCCGCCGTGGTTAAATATCGTGAAATTCAATGAAAAATCAATACATGCTAATTGAATATTTTTAAAATTTTTATTAAATTTATTATCTTGTTTGTAAGTATATATTTCTTTTGTGGCTGTTTGTGTAAGAAAGAAAATCTTTCTTACACAAACAGAAAAAGATCTTTATGTGTAACGCGTTATTAAGAGGCTTCCGCAATATTCGCATATTACATTATTTGAGGAGAGAAAATTACTATTGTTTGTTTAAGTTTTTGCCCGAAAATGTCGTCGTCATTTTGTAGTGACGAGTGAAGCATGTTTTTTATCTTATTTTTTTTTTCATATCGTTGCAAGTGTGATGAACACACATTGTATGTCATTTGAGTGGTTGTGTTGCAAATATCGGATTATTACGAGTCTAACGTCACGTCATTCGTAATTGTATTCGTACTCGCGCCGCCGCCGCCGCTGTGATAATACAATATATGCCATAATAATCTAATCTTAAAGTGCATTATGTTTTAGATTGTTCAAGAAGCTGTGTTTTTTAATTTCGGAAGCAGGTAACAGAAAGATAAGAGAAAGAAAGTTTAATTGATTTTTTTCATGTTCTACTGAAGCTACAAATTACGTATATAATTTTATATAAAAGTACAAGTATCCGGTACCCAATACTACAATTGAAATGAGCAAATAAGTAAGTAACTTATAATTAGCTAGTCACAGGCTTACAGTTATATTTGAGCCTCACCAAGTTCCGCAATTTTAACTTTGAAGGTTCCGTACCGAAAAGGTTATAAAGGAATAAAAAGGAACTTTTGTTTTCGATGTCGGTCGGTATATCACAAGGCTTTCAATACAGCCACAGTTGCTATTTGGTTGTTAGCAATTTTTTTTTAGAAAATGAGGTCTCAAACTGAGAGTGACGTTAGGTCGAGTGGTATCATATTTTTCTAAATATTGTCGCATAGTTTTAATTGTATTAAAACAAACACACATACTTTTGCAAAAAAGACCCTTAGTTTATATTTATCTATTATATTTCCTGTGAAATAGGAACGAATATGAAACCATTTGTAAATAAATTATCGATATTATTATACTTTTATCATGATAAAAGAACTAAAATAGAACTCATTGTGCGCCGCATTAGGTACGGATTTCTCGTACAATTTGTAGTCGTTGTCCTATAATAGTCCCGCGAGCCCGTATTCCCGCGATCATGGGTGCGGCTACGGAGCCTGCCTGCGATAACGCGACGCGATTATCATTTAGGACACCTGTTCCGACATCAATATGTTGGATCGTGCGTTCGTAAGAACTAAGTTCGCGCGAATAGATTTGAAACAGTATAGTAGCGCGGTTACATCGCGCGAACGCCTATTCGAGATCCGTATGTTAGATCGCAGGTTCGCACGAATAAAACTCGCGCGAACTTGCGATAGTCGCGTAATTGCGTTCAATTAGGACGACGCCTTTATCGTCTTTTGGTCAATATGAATTATTTCAGGGTCAAAAATAACTTATCAACTTTGACATAAAGTTATAAAGAATTTATTACTATTAGTTTAATATAGGGCTATCGTCAGTAGGTGCTAAATTACTTAATATTTGATGTTTGTGGATGAAATGGCAATTCAATACCCGAAAAGTATATTGTGGCATGCTGTTAAAATCAACATTCTCTTAACAGGAGTGGACAATGGGTGTCTTCTTTCCTAAAATGGAAATAAACATCCGACACAGACTTCGTAGAAACAAACTTAACAGGTACAATTTACCGATAAGGGGCAAAAAAATACAAAAACGCGCACTTAATTAGCTCTATTTAGAAAATTGAGAACCTTTGTTGATGTTTGTATAAAAGCGAACTTTTTTATTGGAATAAATTGTGTGTAGCCGTAGCTATTTCAAAGATATACATATATTTAATTCAGATTACAGCAATGCTTTTAGTTTCAAAACCAGACCTAGATTACATTTTTACGAGCTACATTTAACGTAACCTCGTTGTTGTTTTTATATATACTTCTTAAAAAAGATTTCAACGCGTAAGTAACGGCTAACACAATAATACAGCCGTTTACATGATCTATGTAACGCTGCTGTATATTAATATTTTTGGGCAAATAAGTGTGTATATGTTTACTGAAAAATATATAATTCTACTTCTAAACGTAAAATAAGCATCTATACAGTTTTTATATGGGGACTGTAAATATTTTTTTAGAACGCAAGATAAAATTGTACGAAGAAATTGTTTTTTTCTTGGCAAACTGTATCAAGGATCAAAATACCCTGTAGTCAATATGTACTGGCGTTATTTCCTTTCATGGCCACGCTCATTCTCCTCACTGGTGGTGGTAAGGGCCTAGTAGGGAGGGGGTGTCGTGGTCGAGCAGGGCGGGGGGGCAAGCGGGAGTCCGTGCTGGCGCGGGCTCGAAACTCTTCGGCGCATTCTGATTTCCCTGAAGATGATGTAGAATCGCTGCGTACCACCCCCAATACTTCACCTTCTTCGTCTAATTCGACTTCTGTCCAACGACGACCTTGAAAATATTTAGAATGTATATTAATAACATGTAAGTTAAATTTTTATTATTATTATTATTACTATTATTAAATTGAATTTTTGGAATTCCAGAGAACATGAATTATCAAAGACAGTAATTTTACCGATGCAAAACAGGTCCTTGGACACATAAGGGTTAACAGAGTTGTTTTTGAGGGACAGCACTAGCGTCGCATTACATTTATGAAAATATTTATGTTAAGAAGAATAGAAATGTTTTTATGAAAAACGGTGACAGACTTAACATTAATTTATTAAGTTATATGCTCGACAGTCGTTTTCACAGTCATAAATTCATTCAAAGGGCAATGTAAACGTTTCTACAATAAGATTACCCTAATATAGATTACCCTAATAAATAGATTAACCTAACCTAACCTAACATCTAGGTCGTGGTTTAACAGTTTTCCGTTTAATTATTTACGAAACTTTTCGAAACAATGTAACCTTTTAACCCTGGAAAAAATATTTATTTATATCATACATCTACCACATTATTTGAAAATGCAATAAACTATGAAATGCCGGTAATGCCTAACACGACTTCGCAATCTGGTAAGATAGTCTTCTGAAAAAGATTTGGCCTTTTTTGAATATTCCAGGCATTTAGTTTGTCAATTTCTAATCTAATACTGAAAACGTAGGTCGGGAAGTAGGATGACAAGTTTTGAAATTTATGGGTAAAATTAATTATGAGTTTGCGTCTCTGACTTCAAATACTAAAATTTAAAATACAGTGAATAGCGATATCTCTCGCCAGGGCCGGTACTAAAAAATCGTTAAAAAAACCAAATACAAAGACACGACAACTAGCACATAGAAAAATTCTTGAGGTCCGCTGGTTCGTTTCTTGGCTTAGTTGGTATAGCGTCTGGCACGGCATGCTAGAAGACGACGGTTCGAATCCGGCCGAATCGAAGGAATTTTTTCTGAGTGTTCGATCTTGGTATTAATAAGTAAATTTTGAAAAATTTTGAAATTTTGAAAAAGACCTGTCTAACGACGGAGACGTGGTGATACTATTTAACGAGAATTAATAATAATAATTATTAATTAATAATTTATGTCTTTAAAACGATACAACATTTAATCCAATTACAATACAGATTTGGTCATGTTTAATATTAATGTTACATTAGCCGTGTAAGGGTAATTTTCAGGTTAGTTTTGTGTGCCTAATTTCGGTGGCAATTTTTATTATTTAAATATTCTAAAATATTATCATAAAGTATTATTTCATATTCGAGTGTGGTAACCGGAAATATTCTTCAATATTTCTCGATAATATACTTAAAATTTAAATTATTAAATTAATTTATATAATATAATATAATTTATAAATATAATTTATTAAATTAATATTAATATAAAATTTTCCCGCGAAATCATCAGGTAGAGAAAACTAACTTTGAAGAGATTAAACTGCTAACGTCAAAGTTAAACCTTGTAGGTATTATAAGGGTTAGTGGTCCTTCCCTCGGTATACACGGTGAAATAATTTGTTGTAAACTATTGACTCGTTTGTTCATGCGTAATGTATACTAATAAATATAAATTCTTAAAATGAAGTAAACTCAACTACATACCAATAACTTAGTTAAATTTACTCAGGGATTTTTAATAATTCTCTAGTTTACTTATATTTTTGAGTTAGTAACCATTTCATTAATTGAATTTAACTTCGTACTTATTTAAAAGACCGACAACTTATACTTTTACCTATTGTTATGGGACATGTAAAAAAGAGGGCCCGAAACGTTTAATTGTTTCAATAAACAAACATACGCAACTTACATCCGAAAAGTAGTTTCAGTACCTACATGTAACAATCGCGAAAACCTGAGATCTCGAAAATTATTGTAATTAAATATTAAAGGATGTTTCAGCACCTTGATATTCAATATTTTTTTGTGAAATTCCGACTGGATTCGTACCGGCTGGATTCGAACCAGAGATTTCTAGCCAACCGTGCTAGACGCTTTGTCAACTAAGCCGCGGACGAACCAGCGGACCTTACGATTTTTCCTATGAGCTTGCTGCAGATCTTTTTGCAGAGTTTTTGATTTTTAACAACTTTTTTGCCGTAGCGCCACCTGTGAACGCGATAGTTACTAAAAATAGTCGAATTATTCGATTATAAGCATAATCGAAATAATTAGTTTCTTGATATCAATTAGTTACTGATAAGTTACTACACTTTTACACTTACACTTCACTTTTTGATTGTTGATCCATTATCGATTGTGAATTGAAATAGTTAAAAATTTTTGATTGTTGATCAATATCGTAATAATAATTGGATTGATTGTTAATAAATTCGTAATGGGATCGATTTTTTATTTTTTTTACATTCCGTAGCATAGTATAGAGGAGTTGTTTTAGTCACTGAAAATTTAATTAGTAATTACTAAATTAGTAACTATATTCGATTATTTTTTGATAAATATGACTAAATCGAAAATCGAATGAAGTATAGTGCAACTACCGATTTATTCGATATTTTTTAGTAACAATCTCCCGCGCGGAGAGAGGAGCTGCTGAAGGATTGGTTTTACCACTCGGCCCGCCAAGTCAGTTTGAGGTGAGGGTGGAACTAAATTTAAAAGTTCCTGCGCGCAATCCCCGAAATATATCCGATAGAAGACCGACAAGCAGGCCACTTTTCGGCGCTGGTCGAGATTTTGTAGCTTCGACTACACAAGAGAATTGTTGTTAATAAGTCTCTTTGCTTTTCGCTCCACTGAGCCCAAGGCAGCTAACTGGTAATGAGCAGATTGTTTAAAGCCGTGCGTTTCAGTGTGGCAGGGTTCATATAAACTCGTATATACAAAAATTCCTGCGCCCGGTTTCTAAATTATTGCACAAAAACCGCTATACAACACCTTGCTAGTAAAATGCGTCATTACATTAAGAAAAAGTGATTTACAAAAGATATACCTGCCTACCTATCTTTCCATGTAAGTTAGTAAACAAACATACATGTCCACTTGTTGTTTATTTATTCAAGCTATTTGTAAAACATGTATAAATACGAATCGACACAGACCCTCCACGTAGGTTATATAGGTTGTAGGGAGGGTAGGTACATAAATACGGAAACGACCTGTAATGCAAGTAAAGGAAGTAGGCGGGAATTTTGTCGAATTATAGTTCCATTTATATATCTTGTGTTCAATGTATTCAATTTCAAAATACGTATTACAATACTATAAATAAATAATTTTTTCCCTTGCATGTAATACAAATAGACTTAAAGCTTAAAGCGAATTTTCATTTTATATAAAATCAACAAAATGTTGCAGTAACAACATTGTATCCTCGTTCAAACTATATTATATACAGCCTACCCACAGTTGCGCTGAGGTTTATCGGGTAATGGAAACTGAATAACAATAGATCGCAAGTAAGAGCACGGCAATTGTGTAAATAGATGGACATGAAATTAAATATGAAAAGAAACTCGTTCGTGAATTGTGAAAACTCACTAAAAGCAGCTGTGAACTCCATCTCTGGTTCTGGTGCGGAGTCGGAGGCGGCTCGGGCCAATGATCGACCAAGAGCTGCAGGATGTATGTCAGGGTCAGTCCTCTTGCCTTTGGTCCATTTGCTGCTAACGCGCCAGAAACGACGCACATCGTGGAATACACTCCATACCTGAAATTTGCAATCTTATTATTTGTATAGTAATTTCTATACTGGGCTGGTCATGTCTGCCGCATGCCGAACGAGTTGTGGGCCAAGATAGCCACGTAAAGGAAGCCCCATAACTCAAAAGGAGACACGATAGACGACGTCCATCGGCGATGGCGGAATGACTTGCACTCCTTTTTGCAGGACTGACCAGGCGGTCTAGACATCGAGCGATCGAGTGTGTTCACAAGAGAATAGCATTGCAGATGTTGCCCAATATTGAGAACAATAGGACAAGAGAGGGGAGGCCTTTGTGCAGCAGTCGCTTTTGGCATTTGTACTATTAGGTTTATTTTGATACCGACGTCTGTCGTAAACGTGTTTTTTTCAAATTTATTTATTTAAAGGAAATTCACTTTTCGTATAAGTTCTCAGGTACACCATGGTTACACCGCTGAAAGCAAATAATGTTATAAGTCGTACTGACCCAAGACCATGCTAATTAAATTCGCCTCGAAACGTTTTTATAGAATTCCAGGTTTAATTAAGCGCTAGGCAATGCTATTTATACGACATAAAGATGACAGCTTCGTGATTAGAATATTTGTTTATTTTATGTATGCATAATTAGGACACATGGAATTTTAGGCGGAGAGAAACAGCCGTGTTCTGATGCAAACAAAAGGGTTAATTAAATTACACGCGTTCCGTGACAGCGCTTTATGCTCCTATGGTTCACAGGAGACTTGTATTCTTTTGTATAATAGAGTATTGGATTTATTAGTGTTATAAAAAATGTCACACCAAACGTGACTTATGAACGTTTGTTAAGGTGATGTAGTTTCATGGATTATTAATTTAATACAAGACGAAACAAATTGACTCTAAAATATGTTTGATATTCACACTCCAACTTCATCATATGGCTTAAATAAATTATTGAATGCGTATAATAGCACCTTATCAAACTTGCAATGTCAGTTACAGACACAGCGTTAGATATAAGCCCAAATTGATTTCGATTTTTTTAGATTTGATTTCGAAATTTAGATTGTTTTCACAAGTTTAAACATAACGTACCCTTCATTTTGAGTTTAATTAAGAAGGACAATTATTAAGTACTTTCTTTCCTCTCGAGAATTTGCCAACACATAGAAATGTACTAAGATTTGTTCACAAACTAGCAGGAACATTCTGATACAGGAATTTCTATTATTTGTGCATACGACGAGCTTTGTTGAATTCTACGAAATTCAAAGGAACCCCGTTGAAGGAAAATGTTTTTAGGTACACACGGATATTTCACAAAATAATCCGCTTCAGATTTGTTGTTTGATTCGAAGAACACGAAATATAAACAAAAATAGGATAAACCTTAAAATAAAGAGTAATTGGTACTTATTTAATAATTGACAGGTCCTCTACACGTGTATGATTTCAACAATAGGCTTTTTGATATGATGAGTTTCTCTGTAATCATCTACATGGTCTTGAATTGAAGCAATATTTCCATATTATGAAGTAAACACGAACATGTATTATAATAATAAAATACACGGACGTGTAAACATTTTGACGTGTACCTAAGCTCCTTTAAGTACCCAAGTGTAACAAAAATCAATTGTACGAAGTACGTCATCTGTATATCTGAAGGTGTATATTGTAAATGTATAAAAACACACAAATTTGGACAATAACAGTTCTCTTTATACCCCAGTTCGCAATAAATCCACGTGTTGTTAGATTCGTCGGGATGATGACTGTAGCGAACCGCAGCAGTCACTACAAATCTCTTTTGTATATATTTTATAGTTTCTTTAAGTTTTAGTTTTATATTTAAATTCTAAAATTAAATGTGATTGTTTTTTGCGCCTTTTCTTGACTATTGTTTTGGATTGATAGCTGCACATGTAGTAATTAATAAACTGTAAGTACATTTGCTTTGGTCTTGCTCACTCTTTGTTAGCACCCACCCGAGCAGGTTGATATAGTGCGCTACAATGACGAAATGTTAGAGCAGTAGTAGAATCGTATAATTTTTACTGGTTCGGTTAACGGTTTATTTCGGTACAGTCTACTAAACGTCATGTTTCCAACACGAGTAACAAACAGACGCTAGCAGTTTCAGCGTAACGCACGTAACACGCCGTCTTAACATGTTTACGAGTATATTTTATATACAATCATATTAGTATCGTTTTCATCATTGCATCATATGATTAAAGTTATTACTTATCGTTAACAATCAAATACTATTACAATAATTTTAAACCTTTTCATACAAACTTGCACTAGTTAGATTTATGTGGGTTGCTTCTAACTTCCAGAATGCTTAAAGTTTTAGGAAATGAACCTGTTTTCTGGGGTCCAACCAACCTTTCGGGGTCTTTACAGGTCTCATGGCCACGGCTGACCTATAAAAAGCCCGAATCGTTGGTTTGTTTGAAAACAAAAATATATATGCGATTAAGATCCGAAAAAAGTCATATTTCCTTTGTGTAAGGCTCAACTCACACTGGCGCAGACTCGAAGCGTCGCGACGCGTCATGTTTTTCGCCTATAGCATGTTCATCTCTATTTTCCCATTATTAAGTTACAAATTTGTGTTTTGCAAATATGGAATCGAGCGTCGACGCGCGTCTTCGATTGGCAGCATTCGAGCGGCTTCGCGCGTCGACGCGCATCATTTGGGCGCCGTGAGGTGTCAGACGCCTACCACTTTGTGATCCCGGCGCACAGTGGGCCCAAATTGATAATTCTTGGACATAGAAATAACTTGTGGAGTTTTCAAGAAATTATACAAGAATAAAAGTTGTTAGGAATGTTATTATCTACTATAATATAAAAAAAATTTGCTCTGAATACCTAAAATTGTGATTGTGATGATTGAATAATAATTGATAATTCTTGGACAAAGGAATAACTTGTGAAATACCGAGCTATTTTTTTTATGTGATAGATAATAACATTTCTACCAACTTTGATTCTTGTATAATTTCTTGAAAAGTTGATAGTTTCAGAGAAAAAAAATATTTTTTGTATGGAGAAATAAACATTTTTTTTCTCTTAATGTAGGAAAATCTAATGTGTGTGGTTTGTTTACAGTATAGGTCCAATCATTATACTAGTATATACTTATAATATACTAGTTTATACTTAACTTTCGTGTTATTGCTATAACATTCTCTAGATTACACTAAAATGAATTTTTCTTTAGTCGAAGCTCATGTATTTTGTTAAAAAAGTACATAAAAGAGTTAGCAATTTTACCGCACCTTTACTTACAAAGCCGCAAGTACATGCAGAGGGATTATTTTTTTCTACATAGAAAATGATTGGAACTATACTGTAAGTAAACCACGCATATTACATTTTTGTATATTTTGAGATAAAAAATAAATGTATATTTCTCTAATACAGAAAAAAAAAAATTTTTCTCCGAAACTATCAACTTTTCAAGAAATTATACAACAATAAAAGTTGTTAGGGACATTATTATCTATCATATAAAAAAAATTCTCGATACTCCACAAGTTATTTCTATGGCCAAGAATTATCAATTTGGGCCCACTGTGCGGCGCAATAATGCGTGCGTGTCGCGCGTCGCCAGGCGGTGTAGTTGAAAAACAGTACGCGATGCGACGCTTCGACTCTGCGCCAGTGTGAGTCGAGCCTAATAGTCGCAAAAACTTAAGAATTCGATACTTTAAGCTTTGTTTCATATTTTTCAAACACCACGCACCTACGTGGTTCATTGAAATTCTCACTAGATACAGATACAGGTATATTAACACTAAACACACTAACCTGTTCGATGCTCTCACGAACGGAAATTTCGTGGAAGCAGACGCATCCAATTTCCTTACTGCGGCGCTGACCCTCCTCTGTGCTCACCATGCGGTCTCCAGCTTGATCTATCTTGTTTCCTACCAGTACCACTGGTGTTTCTAGCACGTTGTCCTGTAATTACGAAAATTGTTTTTAAGGAACATTACTAAAGTTTACTCTGGTGTGCAATTTCTTGTGCAATAAAAGTATTCAGAGACTCAGCGTCTTACTTTGTAATCACTAAATTATTCCTTTAGGTATATTGACAGATAAACCTAAGAACTTGATAGATAAAGAAAATATAAGAATTGAAGTGTAATTATTGACAAAGATTTGTTAAATTTGAAAGTACCTATACCTTTATAGCCATAATAAGTACTCACTAGTTACGTTGCAAAATTTCTACGTAACAGGAAAACGTATTTCTTATTGTTTGATGAAATTCGATCATGTGGCTAAATACTCAGAAGTTAGTGAAGGTAACAGAAACCAAACCTTCTCAAGCGAGAATTGTTTCCATGGTAACATGTCAACCATTAATTAATCTCACTAAGTGAATTACTCGGCATGCTACTCAAACTGTTCTTTCAACAGACCGTGCTTAACTTGAACCTATTCTAGCCTTTTAGCAACTCAAAAGGGTCTTCGGAGTTGCCTACCTATTCATTTACAGACGTATTGATTTATTTGTTCAATGGAGAAAGGTGAACTTATAAATTTACAGTAAAGTCTGTTTAAAAATAAAATACATTAGATTATTATTACACCGTTTCGAAAAATAAGGATTATTTGGTAACTCCTACCTTCGATGATGAAGCCAATCTCCGGCGCCTTTTGTTGTAATTGATGAGGAACTTGAGACGATGGCACTCGTCGAACGAGCACTTGTCTGTCACCGAATACATCAGAATGAACGCTTCTGCCCAACGGATGTTGCTCTCCAGGTTCGCATATTCGCTCTCCTAGCGTAAAAAAACTTATGTGATATTTACAAAATCGTAAGTTTCTATTTAATGACGCTGTATGTACATTGTTTGATATAGATACGTAATCCTACGAAAATGAAAATTTAACATAATCGTGTGCTTAAAGGTAAAACCACATAAGTGACATTCTACAAATTCACAAAAAATCTCCAATTTATGTTCCTGTTGTAAGAAAATCACCATCTTTCTGCAAATAAAACCACTTATTGAGTTTATAGCTTTCTTGTTATTGAGTTTCACCTGCAGAAAGATAGTGAGTTTCTTACCATAGTTATGTAAAGACTTTTTGAAGAAATGTCACTTATGTGGTTTTACCTTTAAACAGACGATATATAAATACTTAACATATTATTTATCTACGTCTTCGATTGAAAGGCGAAGGAAATCAAACAAATGGGGTTTTAGATTTCTTCATGAACGCACGGCACGCCTGGCTGTGTGTGGAAGGAGGGATACTGTTTCTTACACTCATGTGTGATAATTGTAAATATCGGGTTTAGCAGATGAAGCACAAATATTATTAATGCAAGGGAAGGAGCATGTTGATAAAGTGGATGACGTATTTATAGGATCGTCGCGAGGCTGTAGTCTCTGACTACCCTAATGGGAAAGGGAAGCGTTACATACGCTTGGCGACCTTTATTTTTTGAACATATTCTATTTTGAAATGATTTATATGAAGCTCGCTTCATATTAGAATGCGTAACATAGTGTAGACTAGGGTAAGCATCATTGAACAATATAAAAACTTCAAGAGATTTGGGTTATGAAAACACAGTAGAATAACGATGTAGAAAAGCTGGGATTACAACGTTGTATAAGAAGCAGAGTAGAGCTTTTGTTCAAAATCTAAAATACCATTAAAGTTTCAGAAATAAATGTTTCAATTCTGAGAATTGGTTACGATTTGTTTTCACTGAATAATTCAAGTGGCTGCACGAATATTGGCACCAAATACCTTTTGTTGTCAGTGCTAAAAAATGATATGCTTTGAACACCGAAAACGTTAATGTTCGTCTAGTTACGAATAATAATAATAAATAATAACGCACACACTCAACATAGCCCCGCACTAGAGAAACCCTGTGTTGCGGGTGCCATGGACACGCACATAGACAACCACAAATTACACCCAAACTCACGAGAGAAACAACTGTAGGCCATACAAATATTTCTCCCGGCTCGGGAATCGAACCTGAGACCCCTGCGTGGCAGTCCGGCATGGTAACCGTTCGGCCACGGAGGCAGTTAAAGTTAAGTAATATATTTTAACCGACTGAAAAAAAAACGAAGTTCCCGATTCGACTGTATTTTTTGTGTATGTATGTTACGCGATTACTCGACATTTTTTATCGATGATTATTTTTTGACGGAATTCGTCAGTTGTTGTCCCAAAATTGAAGAAAATTCCGCCTCTACGGGAGCCAAATTACGGGATGAATTCGATTTATTGGATTTTACCCACTTTCCTTTAACCGTTTTCAATAAAACTTGGCAAATAGATGTAATTTCGCAAACTTTTGAGGTTGGTTATTTTTTTATAAAAATGTTATACTTATTTCGTAATCTTTTTGCAACCGATACTCGGTAGTAATGTTTGTTGTTATTTGACTATTTTCAAAGCTGTAACGTTTCAATAAACAAGGGAAAAATAACTGTTTTATAAGTATATAGAGAACATGGCTAACAAATCTACTATTTAATATACTGATAGTTAGACTATTGTTTTAGTGTTGATCAATCATTTTCGTTTCGGGTCAAACTGCCCATTCTATGAGTATGTAAAGTAGCTGTTACGCTGATTGAACTGGAAAAATACGTATACGTGCGTATTTATTTTTTCCACTTACCCTTGGGTCGCCAGCCGAATCCAATATTTCGAAATAAATCATTTCGTTGTCTATTACTGTTTGGCAAGCGTAGACTTTCTCCAAATTGGGGTCGTATTCGCCAATGAAACGCCTCGTTATGAATCTCACAACGAGAGCTGGAATAAATTATACCTACTCGTAATTATTTTATTCTGTAAAGTCTCACAAAAACTTAAACAATAACATTAATTAAATCCATTTCATTTGTACAATTATTATTATCTGAAATTATTATTTATTCATTTGTCCTCCTTTAAGTACAAACAGTGCTTCAGCTATTCACAAATTCGGCGTTCTCAGCCTAATTACCGTAGCATTTCGGTATCCTCAGCCTAATCACTGTAGCCATTATTTTTTCTCGTTTATTATACCCAATAACATTGAAATGTGAACAACTTTAAAGTAAACTATTATTATGTCTAAACGGCATTAGAATAGACAAACTGGTTTTCAAGTTATTAAGACACATTTTTTGTGGAAACCGTATACGATGGATACGACATTGATACGGTAATTAGAAAGTTCAAATTTTTTTAAGAAAAACCCACTACTTCTGACACAGCTGAATTATTATTTGTATATTTTACTACATTTGGTTTAATTCTAATGATACAAGTGCCATTAAATATTTTTGAAATAAATTTAAAGCAGGTTATTTTAATATTTTGTTATTGGTAATTATTAAAAATTACTTCAATTTTTCATATGATTTGCAGTAGTTACAAGAACAGTGTAATTATTTGTATTATGATTATTTCTGCCGAAAAAAAAAGGTAAAAATTAGTAAAGAGATATTTTTGGTATCGGTGTAATTCATTACAAAAAGTAGAAAATCAAAGTTATTTATATGGTGTTAGTTGTTTTTTATAAAAAAAATGTTTGAACTTTCTAATTCATGGCAGCGGTAATTAGATCTAATCACCGTTTCCATAAAATATATTTTGGGTCTTAATAACTCGAAAAGAACATTCCAGGTAGGGTAAGATTGCGTTAGTCGTACCCCCTAAGAAAAAACACCTGTAATATTTAAAATTATTTAAATTAAACAAAACCTTTAGCGTCTGCGGGATCTTTATTTATTTTACTATCAATGTCTTTTAATGAAAATGCCAAAAACGTTTATTGAGTCAGGTATTGACGAGATCTTCAAAAAGCACCTTTGGTACGATTAAGGCACCTGGTCGCCTAATTCGTACCACCTATAACCTAAGTCGTACTTAAAATAACACTTCAGTTAGGACATCACAAATTGTATATACAGTACTAATAGAAAGAGATCATAAAGAGACAACATTTAAAATCTAGAAACAGGTAAGGTCTAAGGTGGTTGAAATCAAATAATTCTTAATATTTTTGAAGGGAGAGAACAATCCCAAAATCTCAAGTGTAAGGGAACATAGAAAACAAAAATTTTAAACCCTTAAAAAATAGAATTATGAATTGTAATGAAATAAAATTATAATTTCTTCTGAAAAAAAGTTATGAATTGTAATGAAAGAAAATTATAAGTAAATGATTTCTGAAATAAAATTATAAATTTTAATTGAATAAAATTAAAATTCTCCTGAAATGAACTTACAAATTGTAATGAAATAAAATTAACATGCTTCGGTAATCAAATAAAGGCATATTATATAATAAAGGCACTAAAAAATTTGTTTTGTTGTGTACAAATATATTATTTAGCTGAAAAACTAAGAAATAATTTTCATAAATTCCTAAGTCGTACCGGTACGATTAAGGAATTTTCCACGAGTACGACTTAAGCAACGACACTTTCAAAATTCAAATCAAAATTACTGTTATGACATAAAAAGATCTGCCGTTTGCTTGTGCTTAAATAAATGCTAAAATACGTCAAAAATAGACGAATACCAAAAAAATTACTATAACTTCCGAATAAATGAGAAGTTTTAAAGAAAACAGTGCAAAAACTTACTTTTTAAAATTTTTCCCAACACGAACATTGACCGGCCGCCGGTTTGTTTTTGTTTACTCGCAAACTTAATAGTTCAAATTTATATTACTAGATATTACTTCCCACGCATGTGAGACCAGATATCGCTGTAGTACGACTTAGGCGGTGGTACGACTAACGCAACCTTACCCTACGTGTCGGTAACTCCCTGTCGCGACTAAAGAGGGTACTGAGCGGGGTACCGCAGGCATCAGTGGTCGCTCCCCACCTATTTGGAATGTATGTAACAGATCTAGTTGAGCTCATAGATTCCAATTGTGCCTTTCTTGCTGATGATGGAAAGTTTACATAATAAACTCTGGACAACTTCAAAAAGATCTAAATCGTATACAAGACTGGACCAAAGTTTGAATTATCAAATAGAATGCATCAAAATGTAGCATTTTGCATCTTGGTAACAAATATCCCAAAGTCAGTCAACATTCAAAAAGATCTTGGAGTCAATATTGCATTCAATTTTAAGTGGGATGAGCATATCATTATAATAGTAACTAACTATAAGCTAACTCCTATATCTTGTCACACGCAGATCGTTCCAAACAATGACAGTAGACGTGTTCCTTAAAATCTACGAGACCTATATACGGCCACTGCTGGAATATGGATATCAAGCGTAAAGGCCTTATTTCCAAAAAGACATAAACGTTCTTGAAAACGTTCAGAGGAAGGCAAATAAAATGCCACAGGCTCTTCGACGCAAATCCTATGAGGAGAGACTACACGTATTACGTCTCACTACTCTGGAAGAAAGACGCCTTCGTGGTGACCTCATCTAGATTTATAAAATTCTGATGAGTCAGTACAATCTACCAGGAATACAAAACATCTTCAAAAGAAAAGAAAACTTTAAACCGTCACGTGGCCACCATCTGAAACTAGTTCGTGCAGCTTCCAAAATTCCTGCTGCACACAATTTTTTCAGCAACAGTGGTGCACAATTGGAAGATGTTGTTTCTGCTGTCCCTGTTAATGCCTTCAAAAACAAGCTCGACAACTGGCTACGAAATAGTGAATTAGTGCTAAAAAAGTGAACTAAAACAAATAATATAAATTTCAACACTGTGTGATGTAGACATACCAGCGAAAGCTAGAATCAAATAAATAATTCAATTGAAAGCAAAATGTTATAACGAATCCCGACGATATATAATTTTATATTCTGTTTATAATGTTAGCTAAGGGAATACTTACTTTTCATAAATATTTCAGATATTACATGCATTATAAAAAACACAAACAGACCCAGATAGAGCGGTATATCGCCTATAAAATACCACCGTGATCGCTGGTCGAAGTTAAACTTCAATTTTATATCTGGGAAGATTAAATGAACCAGAATGACTCGTAAAAAGTTTTTTTGCCACGGCTGGTGGCGGGAAGTGCCTTAATAAAAATACCTTAATTTATTACCAGACGTCAAATTTCATTTGGAGTCCCGGCATGGTAGAAGATCAATCTTATCGTAGGTATTTCTATAGTCATCGTAAGTTTTCCAGCAGTAGACGCCGTGAAAGAACAAGCCTAACTAGGATTGTTTTAAAGAAATCATCGTGCAAGAGCGGCCAGTGTCTATATCAAAACAGTAATTTTTCTTATCAGCTACACGCTTTCCATAGTGATTCTATAGTGAATTTTGATAGTGAATTCTACCAGGGTGTTGTCAAGGAATTTGAAACAACAAAATGAATGAACACTAATAGTACATCTTTTATTTTCGAGCATCACCACTCATTCAATAGGCCGATTTCACTGAAAAGAACGAGCAAGAAACACAATTGGTGCTTTTTTCTATACCTTTTTTATTATGTATTACTACACCAATATCGTATCATAAATTTAATGAATAATATTTCTTTACAAAGTCGATTATAACGCTTGTTTGGAATTTCTAATTGAAGTCACTATTTTCAGCTCACGAAAGTTAGGGACACTTTGTGCTATAGGACATTAGCTCTAAGATTTTCTGTAGCTCTGTCTCATGCGAGTGAGGTTATTGCAGAGGTTGCGGTTCAAGAAGTTTGATTGCCTGTTATTTGATTGCAAATGCCACATGTAAGGAGACATTAAATAATTGTCGCTAATACAGGATGTTCCACGACTGTGCTACACGGTGAGACAGGACTTTCAATATTGAAGATAAGATATTTTGCTTAATGGGGACATTATTGCCTCTCTGGAAATCGAACCGACAAAATGTGGAAAATACCACCCTGTACTTAATGATGATGATCGAAAGGGTCAATTATAAAGATTAGTTCCTTTTAAGAAACATGTTAAATTAAAGAAGCTCCATGTAATTTTACATTTAAGTTTATGAAAAACTATTTTTAAAGCGTTTCACTGTCGATTTTTATACTTCAACATGGGGCTCCGACTCATAACAGAAGGAAAAGCTGTCTCTTAATTATTGATTTTCTTCCTGGATCAATACACACGGACCGATTACATGGCGCGATCTCCAGAGTTGCCTGCTTATCGGTATTATAGGATAATTATCACGGAGAGTATGCGAAGGAATTGCACGTTTTAATTCCGCCTTCCCCTTTTCATCATCGAGTACTAGATGTAGGCTTGGGTTCCACCCCTATGTTGTTGGTATACCAAGAACTCGCACGAAGCGTTGCACTTCCATGTTTATATGGCGAACGGCTATGGAGTAGAATTCCCTACCTGCAGGCTTGTTCCCTAAACGGTATAACGTGGGCTTTTTCGAGGCGACAGTGAACCCGTCGACCTCATCGTCACACTTTCAATCAGGTGACATATAGACGTCAAATGCGTATTTATTTAAAAAACATACCTGACACTATTGTATTTCTTTTTCTGTAACAATGTGTCTTCGACAATGAGTTTAATACGAGCAGAGGGGAGAGCTCACAACTATAATTATGATTACTGAGTTTGAAACTGTAATACTATCAATAGAATATTAACAGTGGATTAGTTACTTTTTATTTTTATTTATTTTTATTTATTTATTTACACATTATTACATTATTTAACTAAATGCACATATAAAATGCATTCGCGTTGGTTGGTGTGCAATTATTTAATTCTTAACTATGGAAAAAAGTGTTAGGTACTACGTTAAAAGCAGTGTGGATGAGATTTTAAAACGTGACGTTGTTAGTGTACTGTATGATTCTGCATTTGACTTTAATAAGAATGAATGAAAACGAGGGTAGTTGCTCGCTACTGCCTGCCCCCGCACCCATACCAGCCCTTACTGAGTGACCGAACTGTCAAGGCTTTGGCGCGCAGTTTTCGTTGAGTCACCGCCGCAGAAGTTCGTGATTAAGGACCACTGGTTCGAAATACGTCGAGCAAAAATTCGACTTAAATACACGAATTATCCGTTAGCATAGTCTGTACTTAACCGATATAATATTTAAGTGGAAAATGTTTCTTACCTGATTTACCCACTCCGGCCTGGCCCAATACCATGACTTTGAAAGGCTTGCCTTTCGGGTAAAGAACAAGTTTGGCCAACGAAGTTCTTGGGGAGGTGGTGGTACTCATTGTGACATTGGGTGGTCTTTGGTGACCACTAACCAAATGTACAGTGGACAAATTAATTACATTTTCTCGTCAGTACCTGCAATTGGCGTCCTGAAAAGAATTTTTTTCTATTCTATGGAACATGAAATTAAAGTATAGTCCTACATAACTACAATACAAATAACAATATAGGGTATTTAGTTAAGTGCAATCACTTAACTAAATACCCTATTTTGTAGTTGCAAACTTAATTTGGATATTCTGCCAGTACAATACAATACAATACAAAAATTCTTTATTGTACACCAAAAAAGGAAACAAATACAATACAATTAAATTAAAAATAAGCGGTGGTACAATGGGCGGTCTTATCGCTTTAAGCGATTTCTGCCAGACAACCTTTGGATGGAAGTAATTATATAATTCATAGGAAAAAGACGGTGGTGTATGAAGAATTACTAAATCAACTGATAAAAATTAATAAATAAATACAAATATACATATATTTATAAATAAATAATAAAACCAATACATATATATGAATATCGTAAACTACTAGATATTCTCATACTTATAAAAATTTCTAAAACTGAATTTCAAAACATAAAAATACATAAGCAGTCCAGGTCACACTAAATGAAGGTAGTGTACTTTAACCATATTTTTGAATATATTCAATGATTTCGCTTGTTGAATAGACAAAGGTAAAGCGTTCCACAAACGAATAGCCTGAACAGTAAAGGACTTGTCGCAATACTGGGAGGTATGCAATGGCATCTTAAGTTGGAGAGTTGAAGAAGAGCGCAGAAGTCGGGGGTTGTATTGATGGGCGAATTCAAATCGCTCCTTAAGATAAGGTGGTGTGTGAGGAATGAATAAGATGCCATAGAGAAGATTAAGAATATGAGCATTCCGGCGAAGTCTAATGGGTAACCACTTCAGCTCATTGCGATAAATGGAAACATGATCAAATTTCCTCAGACCATAAATGAGATGTATCTCCGTGAAAGTGAAATGTAATTCAAGGATAACACAGTATGGCAAGGGCAGCAGGTTATTAATTACATTTATGAAGTGGATAAAGTATTTTGAACTGTAAGTATATTTAATTAATAAACTTAATTAGAGTCACAAAAATTTTGGTGTTATGATTTTCACACCTACCAGTACATATATTGCTTTATAACATTTTCACACCTACTAGTACATATATTGCTTTATAATATGTAATTAATATTGGAGGCTATCAGGGCAAAAGTGGTGTAACCCAACATTTAATTAATTTTGTTAATACTTTTTGTCTACAATATTACTTCAAATTGAAGTACATCATTATTATTAGGATGCTATTTTCATGTATAATAAATATTATTATTTTAGTTATTATTAATAATAATGATAATTTTGTAATAGCAGTTTACCTCACAAATTATCTAGTCTGAAACTAGGCAACTTCTTAGAATAACAAGGTACCAGAGTAAAGAAATTAACTCCGTGGGTACTATCTAGAAAACATGCGCCCGAACCAATTTCGTTAACTTACTTTTCAAATTGGACTTCCCGGGAATCGAACCCGAGACATCCTCACCATTATATCATATCGACGCCTTACTTTCTAAAACATTTGTCTTATAAAAAGTGATTTTTCAGGAGATGGGAAAAGCTTCCAAAGTATGTTTTCTTTTTCAATTTCTAACGAAGTGTTCGTTTGGGTGCATGGCAAATATAATGTGAATATGAAGGAAATGTGACTTGGAATCAGTCTACGAGTATAATTATAAAATGATTTTGATTTTGATTGCATTTCCGTTACTTTGTGCTTAAGATGCGAGTTTGAGAAGTAAGGCGACGATTATGCAGTTACTGAACCGAAATATCTAAGATACGTTCTAAACGTTTGTCTTACAATTCGCATGAATGCTGATTTTACGTACCTATTTAAAGAAAACGCGAAAAATGTACATTCTTGCAGAATCTATTTACATGAAAACGCTTTCTATTGTCTTTGGTACTATAATAAAATATTATTTCAATGATTTTGTGACATTTATTCACAAAAGATTCAATCTGCAGGAAAAGAATCACTCTGCCAGGCTTAGTCGTTGTAGAATTTTATCAAAGTTATATTTTAAAAACAACAGCTGAGCTGGTTTTTCGGTTTACAATCTGTTTCTGGAAGGTTCCAGCGCGAGTCGAACATCAGCAATGAGTATCACCATATGAAATTCGCAACAAACCCTGATACGTATGTACATGAAACAAATTATGTGTAATTTCAGATCTCTCGTATTTTAGCAAAAGGTTATCGACTAAGTTCGTTCGTAGTATCTTTAAATGTCTCTCATGAAAAATTAATACCAAAAATTGATATTTATACCTAGGGTGCGAAATTACAATTAAAATTGTTAATTAAATAATTAAAAAAATTAAAACTTTAAACTGTTTGTTTCAAATATTAATAACAAGTCGCAGTATACGCAGGGTAGAATATTAAAATGAAAGATTATTAAAGAGTTGCGTTAAATTACTTATGGTATTGTAATTCTAATTATAAACCTTTGGCTTCAGTTGTAACAAAATCACTTCTTCCTAAATTTAGATGCAATGCACTAGTTCTAAAATAGTTAATATGTAGCTATTATCTATTATCACATCTCGACAAATTGGAGCATAAAGTGGAAATTAGATACAGAGGGAATTAAATGTCGGTCCGATATTCGCGTTGAGCAAATCCTTGTCAGAGAATAAGGGGTAGTGATAGCTATTCCGTATTGCATTCTTTGCCTCTACATACCTTTATCAATTTAACATTATTTATCAATTTAAAATAATGACTTCAAAAAAAATTTTAGAAGATGGTTACTTCGTAAATATTAGAGGTCGTTGTTTAGTTTACAGACGAATTCATGGAACGAGTTCAAGATATGTATACACCTTTTATTATTTATATTTATATAATCTCATATAATCAGGTTTCATAGATAGTATTTAGTAGCAGTAGAGTAGAGTCCTTGTAAAAGAGTTCATCCAGGGAAGTATTTACCATTCTTTTTTATATCAAGTGACGGGTCAAACAAGTCGTGCACCTGATGGTATGCTTTCGAGTTCAAAAGTTCGATTCGGATTCGGATACGATATCGTTATCCAACAACGTTTACGGAGTTAGTCGGCGAATATAGATTATAAGAAAAATGAAATCCTTTTATACACATTTTTAAGGCTTTAAAGGCCTAAAATATAGGAATGCATTAGTCTCGCATTAAAATAAATTAATAAAATTGAAGAAAATCCACATTTTATTATAAATAATGAAAGATTACCATATTACATTCTTGCTTTATAAACAATAGGACGATCGGTAACTTTCATTCGTTAATTGTCTTCTGAATAACGTTTGTAGCCTTTGCCGGGGTGGTGATGGTTCGGAGTGTTAGCTGATACACGTGTTTGGAATTTGGTTATTTTAGGCGATTGTTCCACAGTCTCTGAGCTGTTTTATATTAGTGTATAGTTGTGTTTTATGTTTACCTGCTTGGGTAAGTGCTTAATAACTAACTAAACTCCCTCCCTTCCGTTGTTTACGTCGTAAACAATGGACAGGGTTCCTCTCGATCCCCCTGACCCTCCGGACAGGGATCTGTCTCCAGTGCCAATGGAGTTATCTCCTCCTGTCTTTACGCTTTATGCCACAAAACGACGTCTGGATATTGATCATGAGTCTCAACCAGAACCCAATAAAAAAGCTATAACGGATTCACTGCAACAACCGTCGTCCACACCCCCGGTTACAAGCCAATCCAGTGATCCCAAGGCAATTTACACTCACCCGTCGCTGACAGAAATGCCCAAACTGTATTCGGAACAGGATAAAGGTCCGTTTATTGTCCATGTTTCACGACAGGAGACAACTCCCTCGTCTGGTACTACTATCCGCCCCATAATCTTTGGTCAATTTTTAAACAAAAATAAAATTAGTAATGTTGTTAATGGTGGAATCAAAAAGGTTGGTCGGAACAGAATAGCTGTGGAATTTAAGACTGGTAAGGACGCCAACGAGTTTATCAACAATCATTTCCTACCTTTATATAAATATGAAGCTGTGATTCCGAACTACAATGTTACACGCTTAGGGCTCATCAGAGGTATCCCTACGGAGTTGACAATGGAGGAGCTAGTAGAGGCTATGGTTACACCTGACTATTGTGGTGTTGTGCTCAAAGCTAGAAGACTAAACCGCAAACAGATTGATAATGGAGTTACTAGATGGACCCCCACCCAAACGGTCGTACTGACATTTCAAGGTCAAAATCTACCCTCGAGAATTTTCCTCTATTACACGCCTATAGTAGTAGATGCTTACCAGTTGCCCACAATACAATGTAACAACTGCTGCCGTTTCGGGCACATTAAGACCCAATGCCGATCCAAGCCTAGATGTTACAGATGCGCCCAATCTCACCCCGGGGAGACTTGCTCAGTAGTGGAGGATAATGCTACTTGTTTGCATTGTTCAGGAACCCATTTTGCCACAAGCAGGAACTGCCTTGAGCACTCCCGGCAAAAATCTATCAAAATGCGTATGTCACAGGACAATATATCGTTTCAGGAAGCTGCTGCTCTCTTCCCAAATGTTAAAAGATCATATGCGGACACATCAAGGGTGTCCACTAGCATACCCACTACACTTTCACCACCCTTCCCAACACAATTGTCTCCCTCTACCCCGCTAACACAGTCTTACAGAAAAACAGTATTTCTGACACCTCGCCAATCAGGCCCTTTAGGGAAAAGTTACGACAGAGAAGCACACAACAATATAATTAGAGATTGTCCTTCTACTCTTCCTGATGGCTGTGCTTTAGGTAACCCCTCAAACACAACAGAGACCTCCCCTAATGATGACTGCCTTGACCTTCTATGGTTACTGGTCATTAACATTCTAAAAAAATTCAGTGACGTCCCACTACCGCCCAACGTTGCCCCAAAAATTTTACCTCTTTTAAATCTACTCACTAAAAATGGCTCTGAATATTGTTCAATGGAATAGTAACAGTCTAAAATCCAAAAAACATGAATTCCAACATATAATAAACACAATCTCTCCGTTAGTC